TGGGGCCTAAATAAGGGCCTTTTGCCAGGGCAGGGGATCCGAGGAATGAGCGGGAAGATCCTTCACAATTCTGCGGCGGCCGGGTTTGCCACCACTTGGAGAGGCTTCCTGCTCATTCCTATACCGGCCTCACTGGAGAGAAACCAATGGCCCTCGAGCGGCTTCTTGCCGTCAGGTCCACCCGGCTCCGGGGAGCCGCTCCGCAGGAGATCGCCCGAGATGCCCCCTGTCCTCTCCTCGGCAGTCGGCTCGAGGTGAGGGGGAGGGCCGGGCGCGCCCTTCCCTGACCCTGTCGAGCGAGCGACGCCGCCACCTCTCGCCGCTCTCGGAAGTCGCCCCCGCCTTGCCGACTCTACGCCAGCCGACCGCCGAGGAGAGGTCGGAGGCAGCCCAGGGCGCCGCCACCCGAGGTGCGCTCCCGAAGCGCGCCGTGCGCGCGGCTCACGGCCCGTCCCTCCTCGTGTCGCGCCGTCCGGGGAGCCTGGCTGGCGGCGTCGACGCTGCGACTTCCTTCTGCGTGATCGTGCCGAAACACCTCTCCGACTGGCGCTTGGTCGCCACGCCGCTGCTGCAGGCCCGCGCCCCTCGGCCACGCCAAGGGTAGCGCGCGCCGCACCGCACGCCCGACAGCCAACTCAACGGCGTCCCCGCCCCCCGCAGAGGCTGGAGCAGTGCTTCGGAGTCATGGACGAGGTGCGGGGACGCCTCTCCTCTCCCGGCGCCGCCTGCTCGTTCGAGCTCGGTGAGCCCCGCCCATCGCCCTGGCGCTCGCCGCCGGCCTAGAGAGGCAGCCAGGCGCCCTCCCGCAAGACCCTCTGCTCCACGGTGCGCCCGCCTGACGTTTCCACAGGCATTTGCCTCCAAGTTGTGCGCCGCCGTCGCCGCCTCTTCTTTCTCGTCGCCCAGCTGGCGCCCGGCGAGCCGCCTCAGCCGCGGGTGGGCCGCCGCCCCGGGCGCTTGTCGAGCACTAATAGACACCACAATCTGCAGTCTCCAACTCGGCATCACCTTAGCCCCTCTCCCCGGCGTTGCCGCCTAGCCTCGAAGCATCACGCGGCCACCCCTCTGACGCCGGGCTGTAGGCGCTCGCGAAGGCGGTCGCCGCGATGGCGCAGAATCTGCGAGCCGCCCAGCGCGAGGCTGTCCCCACGACCGGCGTTGCCACAACTCTTGACGGTCTTTGTGGCGTGGGCGGCGCCCGGCTGCCGTGGGAGGAGGTCGCACGGGCACTCGCGCCGCTGTCTGCCGCGTCGAGCGACGAGTCCGCGCCCTTGACCTCCCGCGCCCCAGACCCTCCAACTTTATGTGTCTTCGAAGAGGGTTAGGCGGAAAGAGAGTGTGGACGCACGTGGACGTGTTCGGAAGAGGGTCGTTGGTGAGAGAGCGGGAGCAAGCGCGAGCGTCTGCCGTCTCCGAGCTGGTCGCTGTTCTCGTTTACGCTCTGGGGGGGCGCGGGGGCCCTAGAGGGTATCCATGCGGGGGGGCGATGGGGTCCCATTGCCCGCCGCAGGCGCCGATTTTTCGACGTTTTTTGCGCGATTTTTTGCTTGATTTTTTCGGAATTCGGCGTACTTGCGGCCATGCTATCACGCCTTGCGACAGCCTGTCGGCGCTGCTGACCGTGCCATGCTGCACAATTGATCACCCGCATAGCTCGCGGCCTTAGTATCCACCATTCAGTGACGACCTGATCGTACGGCCAGTAGGAAGGTGTCCTTCCAGCTGCGTGCACGCTTCTGACGCAATGCGCGTCACAAACTGCCTCGGATTGGCTGCTGGCACTCTCGAGGCTATGCCTACACAGCCTCGCGCGCATGGGCAGTCAAGAGGGACCACGCACCTTCTCAGGACAGCACCAGTGCCTCTCTCTTGGACCGGCAAACGTGGTGGTCTCGTGTTACCAATGTGGGACCAGTGCGGCATCGCGCCATCGACAGCTCTGAACTGCGCCTCACCACTGACCGGGGAAGGCCGCCAAGTGGGCCAGCACCGGTCGCATATTGTGGCAGCAGTCAGCAGTGCATGTCTGATAGGTAGAGCAGCAGCGTCAGGGTCGCAGGGTCGGATCGTGTCAAGCCTCTCGCCCGGCCGGCCGTGTGCAGACGTCGGCCTGTCTGCTGTCTGGAGTGATCTGTCGGACGCGCGCGGGCGACCAAGGGCGGGGCGATCTAGTGGTGCGACCTTGAGCATGATCATGTGCTTTGCGAGCGTCTCGGCGAGTGCAAGGAATACACGCTTCGCGTAGAACCAGGTGTCGGTTCCGAGCTTCTTCGGGTACGGCTCGAGCGACCTACCGGCCGGTTGTCACATTTAGAGCGGTGCTAAGAGGGGTGGGGCGGAAGTACGCTGTAGCGGTCACGAACGACGGGATTAGACACAAAAAGCGGGATGGAACGTGCGGTGGGGGTGCGGAGAGGCACTTCATTACGCGCCCGATGCCAAACTCGAAGTTGCCCTTCGCGCAGCACCACACAATCCACCTTGCAGATTACTACACACCGCACATTCCCACCTTGCAGATTACTACTCATCACACATCCATCGCAGATTACTCACCTGCAAATCCGAGGTGGCAGTTGCTACCCGCTCGTTACGCTGAAACTTGTCGGGCGTCATTGGCCAATCCGGATTGTCATTGCCTGCTGTGCTCTTCTGTCTGGCCGGATTGCCTGCACGCGATGGCTGACGATCGCGCGGTGGCCTTCTGTCAGGGGGACCTCCTCGTCGTGGACGACGACAATCTTCCGACCCACCATCGATTGTTGTGGCCGCAGGAGTGGCACGCGTTTGCCGACGCTCAGGCAAAAGCCAAGGTAAAGATTGCAGCTCCTCCGGACTCGGCGCTGGACTCGGTTGCGACGGCAAAGGAGTGCAAGCTCGACGCCGGCGCTGCGACTGCGACCGCTGACGGCACCACCGTGCCTTCAGTAACAACTGGCTCTGACCGTTCCGATGGGCACAGCCCTCTGCGTGGGCCTTTGCCTGTGCAGCAAGGCATGGACGACGCGACCACGAGACGACGCGACGAGGAGGAGCCGTCCTCCACCGACGAGGAGGAGCCGTCCAAGGCGACGGAGGCGCACAAGGCGGTGGATGTGCGGAGCAAACGGAACGCCGGATTTTTTCGAGGGATTTTTGAGGGGGCCTTTTTCCAAAAAATTTTTTTTGCTTGTAGGAGCGTTTTGGCGCTGTTTCAGCCCATAAATCGGCACCCAAGCGGCGATACCCGCTTCCAGAATCCTCGCCCGCGCCCGCGCCCGCCCGCTTCGAGGCAATACCCGCTTCTGAGGCTTGCGGATCTGTCTGGGAGGTCGAATGGCGACCTCCGGCGGGCTCGGGCGCTCCTGGACCGGGCGGCGGCCCCTCCCGGCCCCCTCCGCCGCCTCGCTCTTTGTTTGCTCGCTCCGCCGGCGCCGCCGCTGAGAGCCCCATACTCCGCCCCGCGCGCAGGCCGCGGTGACCGAGGACCTGAGCGGCGGCCAGAGGCGACTCCGACGACCACGCGACGCCGCCGGAACGCAAAACAACTCCCTGGCCGCTGCGGCGCCCATTCTATTTCGAAGAATGCCATCCTGGAATATAGAATCTGCCTTTCGGTTCGTGAAGGGTCGGTGCGAGTCTTGCTTTCCTCGATCCCCCGCCCTCCCCCGCCA